TCTTTATCTTAGTACAGGAAGAATTGGCCCATATGGGGGCTGCAAGGTGGCAGATATCAGGTCTCTCATTCTGAATGAGGAGAAGATACTCAGCCTAGGCGGAGAAGAGGATAACCACTTCTGCAGGAACAGAGAGACCTCAATGGACACTCAATCCATTCAGTTTCATGTGTGCTGCTGCTATGCCATTAAAACCAATACTTAATCTGCACAAGCTTTTATCCATCTTACACATCTAATTCCTTCTTTTCTCTTATGCAGGCAGGTATATTACCCAATGAACCTCTATTAGGAAGAGGTCAGCATCAGAAGCCCTCAGCACCACCTCTACCTCTGAGGAGGAAGCCACTGAACACTCAGAGGATGCACTAACAGGACTTTCATGGGGACCCTTCACCAGCTTAGAGATTTTCCCTTTTTTCCTGTATTAAACTCAGGAGCACAGTCTGGTGAATACATCATAAAACATGTCTCTGTAGCTGGTCGAAGGATAAACACCTCAGGTCTCTGGTAATCAGGGTACTTTCAGAGACAATGTACTGCTCAGCCCCAGGCCACTATGATGGTTCTCTTCACCATCAAAAAATGGACTGTTTCATACCACAGACCATTGTCATTACTGTACATGTTTACAGTTAGTGTGCAAGCATGGCAAGCATTCTTTTCCAGTGACAGCTGTGGAATGTGTTTATGAAAACAAAACTTTACGTGTCACTTTTAAGTGCCTAAATCTGATTCCATTTTCTTAGCTGACATGACAAGGAGGCAATTAGTATGCACATGCAATGTTAATGATTGATTGATTATTAACTCTGAATGTACATTCTTGGACAGTGAATGGCGTACAAATTGAAGCCAAATGAATCACATTACTGAAATACTGGAGACATAGTTACTGGAATTTCACTTAGCAGAGCCTACAATTCCAAACATCTTACAATTCCACCCGAAAGGAAGATAAAATCACTTGCTCCATCCACTTTGTACATGGCATTAGTAATTTTGTGTTATTGCTTTGATCTGCCAATGGAAAGATTCCAACTTAGTTTTAGTGAGTGAGTTGCAGGCTCTGCCTATGACACACAAACTCTCCCCATCCTTTATGCCGCTGTCCCTGTGGTCCCTGTGATTATTCCCCTCACCCTGTTTCATTTCAGCCCCTTTATAAAGCCAACAATGTTCCTACGTTACCCCGGAATCCACGACAATGGAAATTCTCATGCCCTTGTTGGCCCTATACCTTCCTTCCACAGAGGTCAGAGTTACCATGAGTTGTTTCAGTAGCCCCTCCAGAGCTCCCAGTACCTTCCTGTTCACAAAGTGGTCCCATAGTACCATTTACAATTGACCCCCTATGACTGTCAGCATTCCCTCAATAACTCCAGTACAATGAAGCCTATCCCTAAACTTGTTGTGCCTGTTTTCCACAGGAGTCCAAGGACTGATAAGCCCCCAACCATAAGGGACCAAACCCCCAGGTTCTGACTGTATCCTTCCTCCTGGACTGACTTGGAAGGACAGCTTGGACTGACCAGCCCTCTGACTGATGTCTCCACAGCAGCTCGATTGACGTACCTGTGATGTCCCAACCAGTTGCATTTGATCTACAGAATGGACCATGGCCCAATCACTGGATCACATGGAGCCCCGAACATATCCATTCATTTGACTGTGCAGTGCTCTGTAATGACACAAACTGCCTGCCACTGCCTCTGCAATGCAATGCAGTGCTGTTACTGAGCACTGAAGGCTCTCTGTGCTAAGAAAGCAATGTGGCTCACATAGGAGCCAGCAGCCTATATATCAGTGCATGAGTCAATGAGTGCCCACTAAGAAAGCAAGCGAAGTATACAGTCTGGCAGCATTCTAGTGAGCACAAAATGAGTGAGTGCTAAGAACACAAGTCAAGAACAATAAAATGCATCCAGTGCAGATACATGAGATTCACGACTATCCTGCACACAAAGTCACCGAGCTGAAACATGCAAATTCTGGATGTCCCTCAGCACCAAAGTAACGTTGAAGAGCTGAAGTGATGTGTGAGTTGGCCTAAGAGCACTCATGCTGGTGTGGGTGAGACAGGTAGTTTGACAATACCAATTTACATGGACGCAAGCTCAAGGAGGATGGTAGCCGTGGACCCTGTGGGCACATTCTGGTGAAGAAACTGTTGACTTGAGACAATTACTCACACGTTAGGAATTTGCATCATCTATCTTCTCAGTTGGGGACGAGAATTGGAAGTGGCATATAGATTAAGATATTTGGGGCTTTAATGCGATGCCAATGCCTGGACATAATGTGGTCGTCACTCAATGACAAGATTCTGAAGCCATCGTTTGAGGCTTGTGGGGAAATAAAACGCTTTTCAACGTAGCATTCTGATGTTTTCATTATCTCTGTATTGTCCCAAATTTCTTACCATTGATCATGTTACATGAGGAAGATTCAGCTCTAAACAAGCTGTTCTCTGAACCACACGTGGCTCAGCTGAAATGTTCTTTGATGCAAGCAGCTACTTCCGATGCTGTTGCCAGGAAGGTCACAGGTACTGTGACAACAAGGTGCAGGGCTGGATGGACACAGCAGGTCAAGCAGCATCTGTGCATGCATTTGTAGTGAGTACAGTCCCTGCAGTTATGCTGGCATCAAATACAGCCATGAGAAAAAATAGCAGAAGTTTGGAAGAAACAAGAAGAAAACTGATAAACTATAAACTTGTAGGGGAAATAAAAATGATGCAACTAACGGGTTTCCTGAAATGCTTTTGAATCCATCGCAGGATGTGTGCATCACTGGCTAGGCAAGAATTTATTACCCATTACCAATGACCCTGAGAACAGTTCAGAGTCAGATATATTGCTGTAGATCTGGAGTCACAAATAGGCCAGACCAGGTAACAACATTAGATTTCCTTCTTGAAATGACTTAGTGAACCAGATGGGATACAATTGACAACAGTTATCATTAGGCTACCTTTTTAAAAAAGTTCCAGATTTCTATTGAACGTTAATTCACCATCCGGGGTTCAAATGCACATCCACAAAACATTAGCCTAGGAGTTGCTGGATTCCTTGTCCAGTGACATTACCACTGCATCACTGCCTCCCCTTAGTCAAGGCTACTCACTTATCCACTTACAATACGTTATGTGCAGATTTATTTCTGTGGCAGTTATAAAAGTGGAAGTAGTTTGCTTCTTTATCTACTTTCATGTTTGGTGCAATACTCACATACTTTAAAAAAGAGAGTTAGCAATGGAGATGCACTACAGTAATAGCAGCATACTAAACTATTACATAATATAACATTCCCATGTTTTGAAACACAAATTTCAATCTAAAATGTTACAACAGATTTGCTCATGCAGAAGTTGATTTCCGATGTAGTATAATTCAGGCAGACAGGGTGTGTTCTGCCCACTTGAACAAATCAGTGTGAGGTTTGCTTATTCCTTGGGGCTATTTCATAAGCAACAAAGAGGCTTCACAGCAACAACAACGACATCATGGTTACAGAAAAGGAGGCTCCTCAGCCCTTCAAGTCTGTGTTGGCTATCTGAAAGAGAAATTCACCTTATGCCACTCCCTTGCTTTTACCCCATAGCTTTGTGCATTCTTCCTACTGTTATCCAACTCCCTTTTGAATACTGTGATTGAACATGACTCCACCACACTCTCAGCAGGGCTTGCTCCAGGTCCCAACCACATGCTGCATGAAAACAGTTTTCCTCATGTGGCCATTGTCAATTATCTTGAATTTGTGCTCCCTCATTCTCAATCCTTCAACCAATTAGAACAACTCATCCATGACCTACTTTGTTCAGATTTCTTGTTGTTTTGATAACTTCTATCAAATCTCCTCTTAAATGTCTCTTCTCCAAGGAAAACAGTTCTAATTTATCCAATCTATCTCCAGAACTGAAGTTTCTCAAGCCTAGAATCACTTCCGTGAATCTTTTCTGCACCTTCTCTAATGTTCTCATATCATCTCTAAAGTGTGGTTATAGCATCATAGAATCACACAGCACAGAAACAGACCCTTCAGTCCAACTCGTCTGCTCCAAACAGACATCTCAATCTCACATAGTCTCATTTCGCCCGTATTCCTCTAAATCTTTCCTGTTCACATACCTATCTACAGGCCTTTTAAATGTTGTTAGAACTGGATGCAATACTCCAGCTGATGCCCTTAGAAATTTACATAGATTTCTTGCTTTTGCACTCCATCTTCCTATTAACAAAGCTTAAGATACTTATATGCATTATTAATCATGCTTTCAACCTGTCCTGCCACCTTCAATAATTTGTTCACAGTTTCCTCTGCTCCTGTACTCTCTTTAGAATTGCACCCGTTAGTTTATATTGTTCTTCCTTCCAAAATATATCACTTTACACTTAAATTCTAACTACTACATTTTCACTCTTTCCACCACACAGTCCACATCTTTTTGAGGTTTTACACTATCTGCCTTACAGTTCACAATGGTTCAAGTATTGCACCTCCCTTACAAATATTAAATTCAGTCCTGTACACCAAGATCTAGGATATCAGTCTATACCAAGAAGTGTAGGGACCTAACATTGGCTACTGACTATGTGTGTTCAATTCATTGTTTCCAAGGATTATACCTTCTAGTTACTGAAGCAAAGAAATACAGCACAGCTCTTTGAAAGAGGGACATAACTGCATAGCAGCTAAACAATATACAGTTACAGTTTTTTAAAGAGTTTGATTTATTAGACTGGTTCCATTATCCGATTAGTTTTATTATCATGAAATAATTTGAAAGCAGCTTTTTTGCCTACTGCCTCTTAGAAGAGAGAAAAGATAACAACAGGCTAAGTTATAAGTTGAAAATGAGATGGAAAAGCAATTTCAAGCGCAGGTGACAGACTTAAAAATTAATGCATAGTGCAATATTTCAGGATTTTTTAATTCCTCTTCAGTCTAAATGTACATTTTAGCTTGAGAAAACAGTGATTTATTAAAACAGATACCTTTCCATTGCCACATCGTACCAGGGTTCCCATGAATGCAATGTTTTGAAGAGAAGTCAGATCCCCAGATTCTGTCAAGGTTGTAGTACTTTTGTTACAAGCTTCTGATTCCCCTGTAAAACTTGATTCATCGATCAACAGATCAACAGCCTAAATTAAAACCAAGAGACCAGTTAGTTTTAATATCTAGGTCAAAACAAAATGCAACATGTTGAAAGTTAATAGGATATTTCTATTTATTAATAAAATGTTGGTGCGTAAACAGAAATTGCAATCATTAGTTGAAAAACAAACTTCTTGAACTTAGAGCCATAGAGATGTACAGCATGGAAACTGACACTTTGGTCCAACTCGGCCATGCCAGCCAGATGTCCTAAATTAATCTAGTCCCGTTTGGCCCATATCCCTCTAAACCCTTCCTATTCAGATAGCCATCCAGATGCCTTTTAAATGTTGTAATTGTACCAGCCTCCACCACCTCCTCTGGCAGCTCATTCCGTGTATTCACCATTCTCTGCATGAAAATGTTCCCTGTTAGGTCGTTTTTAAATCTTGCCCCTCTCACCTGAAACCTATGCCCTCTAGTTTTGGACTCCCCTACTCTGGGGAAAAGATCTTGACTAGTTACCTTATCCATGCCCCTCATGATTTTATACACATCTATAAGGTGACTCCTCAGCCTACGATGCTCCAAGGAAAATAGCCCCAGCCCATTCAGCCTCTTCCTATAGCTCAAACCCTCCAACCCTGGCAACATCCTTGTAAATCTTTTCTGAACCCTTTCAAGTTTAACATTGTCTTTCCTATAGCAGGGAGACCAGAAATGAATGCAGTATTCCAAAACTGGCCTAACCAATGTCCTGTACGGCTGCACCATGACCTCACAACTCCTATGCTCCTAATTGACCAATAATGGCAAGTTGTACCAAAAGCCTTCTTCACTATGCTGTCTACCTGTGATTCCACTTTTAAGGAAATATGAACTTGCACTCCAAGGTCTTTTAGTTCAGAAACACTCCCCAGGATCTTATCACTAAGTGTGTAAGTCCTTCCCTGATTTGCCCTACCAAACTGTAACGCTTCACATTTATCTAAACTCCATCTGCCACTGTTCAGCCCATTGGCCCATCTGATCAAGGTCCAGTCGTACTGTGAGGTAACCTTCTTCACTGTCCACTACAACACCAATTTTGGTGTCTTCTCCAAACTTACTAACCATAACTCCTATATTCACATCCAAATCATTTTGATTTATTCCTTTAAAAATGTCATGGTGTGTGCTATGTTTGGCTGAAGCTCCAGCTTTTTTTGTTTCACACTCTTTCATCCTTTTGCATGGAAATGGCAACTAACATTGGCTCAACAGCTCTGTTGCTTCCATAACCCAACACAAATAGACCTGCTGTCCACACACAACACTGATCTAGTTAGCTGACAAAGCACGTGGCACAGTGGTTAGCATTGCTGCTGCACAGCACCAGGGACCCAAGTTCAATTGCAGCCTTGGGTGATTATCTGTTTGCATGTTCTCCCTTTCTGTGTCAGTTTCCTCCCACAGTCAAAAGATGTGTAGGTTAGGTGGATTGGTTATGCTAAACTGCCCTGTAGTATGCAGGATAGGGGGTGGGTCTGGGTGGGATGCACTTCAGAGGATTGGTGTGGACTAGATGAGCCAATTGTAGGAATTTTATGAAGTACTCATTTTTTTTTTTGCAAGTGGAGTCACAATGTAAATATAACTTCTGCACTGCTATAGATCAGGCTTGTACCTGTAGTGTTCAGGTTCACAAAACAGGGATGGCAGGACTGACAAATGAAGAGAGATTGGATTTGTTAGGACGAAATTGACTTGAGTTTAGAAGGGAGAATCTCGTAGAAACCCATAAAATTCTAATGGAACTGGACAAGGTAAACTGAGGAAATATCTTCCCTATGACCAGGAAGTTCAGGACCAGAAATAGGCTAGTCAATAAGACTGAGATGAGGGGAAATTTCTTCACCCAAAGAGTGGTGGGCCTGTTGAATTTTCTGCAGCAGAAGTATGCTGAGGCCAAAGTATCGAACACTTTCAAGAAGAAAATAGATATAGTATTAGGGTATGGGACAAAAGCAGGAACAGGGTACACAGTTGGATGGTCAACCATGGTCATATACGAAGGGAGGAGCAGGTTTGAAGGGCCAAATAGCTTGCACCTTTTTTTAATGTTTGTGTTTTAAGAAAAATCACAGCTCATTAAAACTTCACATTCAGATGTTGTTTTCCTTGATCCGGAATAATCATTCTTATATTGATTGGTAAGCAGTGTAGGTTGGTTTTACTTGAAAATCTCACACAAGTTTGTGTCAAAGACAAACTGATAACTTGCTGTTAAAGAGCAACATATCGATACATCTTAGTCTGGTATGGTGTTGCTTGGAGTCCTCTTGCTTTCTGTCATGTGGTGTCAACTCTAAAAAGTAACACAAGTATCATCAGGTATATTGGTAGGAACTTACCTCTTGTGTCCAGAGCCTTAGTTTGGGCCTATGGATTACTTAGTGGCCTACAGATTTAACATTTTTTAAAATTAAACCACTGATTCATGATTGTTAAATAAAGAAATTAAACTGTGTTCAGTTAAACTATTAAATAAGATTAAAATAAGTGTTTGAGACGAGAGAAAGTGACTGTCCTCAATATTTCAAAACAATGATTGACTGCTCGATTGTTATGGTTTGAGAATATAATTGTAAGAGAAGCTATATTATGGAGCTCCAATTAAGACTGGAAAATAAAGAAAATGTGTTGTCTTTGTCTCCTTCATTTCCAGAGTCTCGTCGAAACTGAAAAAGGCCATAGATAGACTCTCAATCAAACACAAAATGTTGGAATTCAGAAGAAAAAGATCAAAAAAAGAACTGAGCAGGTCAGGCAGCATCTGTGGAGAGATTAAATATTTTAGGTTGAGATAACCTTTCATCAATAGCGTTCTGCTGAAAGGGCATTGATTTAAAATGTTGACAGCTGATGATAGCTTTAATATTTAACTGTCAAAGGATTGCCAGAGCATCTGTGGATCAGAAAAGCAAATTTTTTTTCACCAATATTTCCTCTCCTAATTGTTGCTCAGTGACTGTTGCTAAATGCATGAATGAACAGCAGGATTTGGCTCAGGTGTGATGCCCTTTTAAAGAACTAGTTTGTGAGCGTTCATACATCAACCAATTATTGGGTGGCATGGTGGTTAGCCCTACAGCTTCACAGCACCAGGGAATCCAGGTTCAATTCCACCCTCAGGCGACTGTTTGTGTGGAGTTTGCACATTCTCCTTGTGTCTGCATGGGTTTTGGCTACATGTCCTGGTTTTCTCCCACAGCCTGAAGGTGTGTAGGTTAGGTGAATTGGCTATGCTAAATTATCCAATGTCCAGGGATGTGCAGGCTAGGTGGACTGGCCATGGGAAATGCATGGTTTCAGGGATAGGATAGGGGTGGCTCTGGGTGTGTTGATCTTTGGAGTGTTGGGATGGGCTGAATGGCCTGCTTCTGCACTGTAGGATTCTATAATTGACTGAGATACTAGAAATTGATTGGACATATGACCGTATACAGCCAGCAAGTTGTGAGTAATGGGGATTGGACGATTGGACGATTGACAGGCAGGAGGGGAGATCCTTGGGTCTGCATTTGGGAGACATGGTTAGCTGGGAGGATGGACAGACAGATGATAACATGGAGAAATGGTGATAGGCGCTCCTATTCTATCCCCTCTTCAATTGATTTGAATTCCTTCTATGTACAGTTATTTAAAACAAACTGTTCAGATTTATTGCGTCACATGGAACTTTCTGGCCCCAGAGGCAGAGCATTACCCAAGTAACACAAGCACGTTGGCCTCTGTTTATGATTCAAAAATGCTGTGGAAGAGACCAATTAATCAGACAATCAGTTTTTTTTTGGTAAAAATCTGATTTGTTACATGTTCATACAAGAAGGAACTAAATTAAGACCAACCATCTTGCATTGTTTTGGACAGCCTTTAATTTAGAATTTTACTTCAGTTGCCACTGGTGCAAAGTGAACAATAATAAGTATTTGAACATTACACAAAATCTTTCGAACTATCACACAAGATATTTAGCACCATGTAAAAGAATCTGAGATATTGATAATTGCACAGAAGTACAAAATCGATCATCAACGTAAATGGAGGCAGATTGTTATTCAAAAATCAGTGAAACGAATGAATAACTGTAAGACATTAATTGCACAATTGAGGTACTCAAGTCATGAGTGACTAAGTACAATGGAGAAAATACATTATAAATTGAAATGTAATTCTTGTGTTACTTAATGTTAAAAGTCTTTAGTATGAAATAAGAAAAAAGTGTATTAAAGAAGGAAGCTAACAACTACTATGACTATGTAAAAAGGTCAAAATGGTAGATTTATACAGGAATGATATTGGCTAAATTATGATACACATTGATGGCGATGATTCAAACAATATGCTGGTTTAAACAAACTACTGTGGATGCTGGAAATCTGAAATTTAGTTAAAAAAAAACTAGTTCCAACAAATCACACTGGACTCAAAACATCAACTTTGTTTCTCTCTCCACTGATGCTGCCAGGTCTCAATTTCTCCAGCACTTTCAGTTTTTATTTAAGATGCTAGCTCATGTAATTGTGTTTGACTGGCTTTTTAAGTCAAATGTTTTAGTGCAAGAAGCATCAAATGATGGGTAAAATGTTTCAGATTGAAGGTAGGTACTTGTTTTAAAACCAAGAGGGAGGACAGCCTTGTGTTTTTTTTTCAGAAAAAAATAGCATTGGCAGATAGATTTCTTATATTTCACAGAAAGCATCAACCATTGTGATGTTTGAGGACACATGAGGAGGGGAGAGGTCCCTGGGGTTTGGAATGCCCCAGCAGTGAAAAGGGGAAACCATTAGAATGGATGGTTTAGTTTGTGGTGCTTGAGGGTTAAGAACAGTTAGGGACTGGGTTTCTGCATTCTGTTAGCCTTAGGGGCTAATACCGAGACTGTGGGAGCGTCATGAAAGGGGAAAACAAGTGTCCAATCACAGCTTGAGAGTCGAGAACTGCCAACTCTTTCTACTCCTGTCCTTGTCATTTTAATCGTGTATTACTCATTGGTGTCAGAAGTTTGCCAGATCAATGAGTGCACACTGACCTTCAAGAAGGCAATGACTGGGTGAAGAGCAGCATTCAGAGAGAAAGGACACTTAATGAGACCGGGGGAAGGAAAATGTGAGTTGTATGATAGACCAGTGGGAAAAGATTGAAAAGGATAACTTCTTTATAACTGTATCCTTGGTTAGAGTATGGATGCACTTCGCCTGCATCCTTACTCTACGTTTGGTTATTACAATGGTCTTAGAAAAATAAAAATAAAGTTAAAAGGAAAGCTTAAGGCTGAAACTTCAAGGTGTTTCTGAAGCTGAGAAATGAACAGCACCAGCTGAAAACAAAAAAAAAGCTGGAGATCACAGCCAGTCAGGCAGCATTCATGGAGATAAAGTAAGCTCAAAAACATAAGCTGCTGGAAAACCTCAGCAGGTCTGGCAGCATCTATGAAGAAAAAAATCAGAGTCAAAGTTTCGGGTCCAGTGACACTTCTTCAGAACAGATTTAAGATAGTTTGGGAAAAGCAGCAATGGAGGCTGAAATAACTTCATAGAGGCTGGTATCTTGTCACCAAGTCACCCTTTATTTACATGCGCACCGTACACTGACTGTGGCCAACCAGCTCAGAGTCAGTCCCCAAGGTTAGCAAACTCTCTTTACTCCCCTGTTTGTATAAGTCAGCCGGGGCTCCCTGGCCGATCCAGGTTAACAGCCCCAATCAAGGATCTCATAGACAATAAGATCTACCTGGTTCCAATCATTACAGAGGCATAAGGAGACATTTTCTTACTCAGCGAGTGGTTGGGATCTGGAACTCAGTGCCTGAAACAGTGGTGGATGTGGGGTCAATTGAGGTTTACATGAGGGAATCTTACAAAAGGAAAATTGTGCCCAGCTGTGGAGCAAAGGCAAGGGAGTTGAACGGCTCATTTATTAGTAATCAGGTAAATTTAGAGAGCTGAGATAACAAGGTGTAGAGCTGGACGAACACAGCAGGCAAAGCAGCATCAGAGGAGCAAGAAGGCTGACATTTTGGGCCTAGACCCTTCTAAGTCTTTTACTCTGGAGAAGCATGGACTTTGATATTTGGACTATTCATAAAAGCTACATCCCCAACATACCTCTAAGTTGCAAAGGCACAGAATCAGGTTAGATGCTAGGAAGAACCTGGTGCAAATGTCAATCTTTGGAATAAATTTCCTGCATTTGCATAACTGCATATTCAGTCCAAGTATTCAAAAGAGAGGTGGGCTAGTTCCGATGTGTGATAAGCATCTGTAATATTCAGAAGCAAAATGGACAATCTGAGGTTAATGTCAGCTGTAATTAAACTCCAGGAGCTTGCTTGTTTGATTGCCTTCAGGATGGGAAAGGAATTTCTCAGCGTTTCTTTCTTAAATTGACTTAAAGCTTTCTGTTCTTATTTTAACTTTCCCAGGACATCGTGTTATTGGGATGGGAAAGTGGGAAGTGTGGGCTAATGATGACTGTAAGTTACACTATACTCATGCACAAATGTCATGGAGAAAATGAACCTGGGAGATAGAGTCTACAGGACAAAGCTGGGAATGTGTCACAGAGTAAAAAGAGCACTCAAATAAAAAGCAAAATACTTCAGATGCTGGAAATCTCAAGTAAAAACAAAATATGTGCTGAAGAATGGAAACAGGTCTGACCGCGTCTGTGGAGATAGAAACAGAGCTTATGTTTTGAGTAGAGTTATAACAGACACAAAACATTAACTCTCTTTTTCCACGGGTTCTGTCAGACTGGTTGAGTTTCACCTTCATTTTCTATTTTTATTTTAAGTAAAAGGAGCAGACTGGCTAACAAAAAGAAAATCCCAGTTAAAGAGTTCAAAGTATGACAAGCATATGTGACACCAAGGGAATAACTGACAATCAAGCCACAATTAAATGTGATAAAAAATATCCAGCAACCCAAATATCATAAATGTTAAAAATAAATGCTATGCATAGGAAGCATTAAATATACTTTTATACCAGGTTTGTTGAGACTTACTTTATAATCTGTTTGTTTGCAATTCCACTTATATTCACTTGAGAAATACAATCATGCTTTTCCAATGTAAAATGATTTGTAAAGAGTGTGCAACTTTTACAGTACGCTTGCTTGATATTGCATTTGAGGTCCAATTGCTGCAGAGTTTGGCCTTCAGAAGGTCCATATGAATGAGCAAGCAAATAAACATAAAACAAATGGAGCTTATCACTACATGCATACATATTTTACATAATACTCATCCTTGGAAAACAAAAAAAAACATTTTATTCCATTTGTTAAAATTGGTAAATGAAGGCCATTAACAAAGGAAAACATGCAATAAAAAAATGTCAGTTTTATGAACTCAGCTGAAAAAGTGATCTGTGCAGTACAAAATGTGTGCTCACTTGCTTCTAACTTGATAAACAAAAAAAAAGAACATTTTGATACTGGTTAAATACTGTTACAGTGTTATATCTGTGTTTATAGCCTGTACATTATGTTACTCTACTTCAAAGTAATCCATTATCAGGTGTTCCGAAATATTTGATTGAAGTGTGAAAGTGAACTATGAATGGAAACCTTTTCCACATTGAAATTATGTCAATTAGTAGCAGTTCCTTGACATTTGACAGGAAGTAAGCTATAAAAGACAAGCACTGTAACCAAGGTGAAGCAGATTGATTGCAAGTTGAATGGGATAGGAGAGGTGATGGCATTGTGGCTGTGCCATTGGACTTGTATTCCAGAACTCCGGGTTAATGTTCAGGAGTCATAGATTCAAATCCCACCAGGGCAGATGGTTAAAATTTGAATTCAGTAAAAATCTGGCTTAACAGCAATCATGTGACCATTGTCAATTGTTGCCCCCACAGAAGAAAAACACATCTGCTCTGCTAATGTCCTTTACCATTGGTCTGGCTTTCAGGTGACTGTAGCCCCACAGCAATGTCATTGACCTTTAATTAACCTCTGGATAATTAGGGATGAGCAATAAATGCTGGTCTAGCCTGTGACACCCACATCACAAACAAATGAAAGAAAAAAAAAGCTAAAGAACAAATTGGTTCAGTTGTCGGTTTCCTCAGTTACAATGCACAAATGTGACAGATTTATTTTTGTTGCTGAATAATATGCTCACATTTCTAGTGAATAATTTAGCATTCCACATTATATCAAATGTAACGTTGTTTATAAATCCTAACCTGATGTATAAATGTAATGACATTTCGTACAAAATTAATGCAACAATCTTCTCAAATTCAGCTATTCATTAGTCAAAAATAGATCGGTGTTCACGTGAGGTGTTATTACATAATTGAGGTCCAACAAGGTTTTACCTTTGTTAACATATTAAGTACACAACCATTTATATGCTTAATTTTAAATACTCTGTATGAAACATTTCATATATTTCCACCCTTCTTAAAAAAAAACTAATGCCTACTCCCTTGAAAAATTGTTGAAAATATTGCTGATGTAAATTGTAATAATGATATCAAGAAAAGGCAAGTAACTAACTGTTGGTATTGTATAGCTGAATGTAAAATAAATTTTGGACATATACATGAGGTCAATCAATATTTGAAAGAGAAAGGTAGATGAAATTACACCTACAACTTTATGTTTCAGATCCTGATTTGACTTTCTATACATTTCCACCAGTTTCTGTTTCTACTGTTGGTGGTTAATAACATTGCACAATATAAAATGAAGGGGCTAAATTCAATAGCCTTTCAAGACAGGCTGAGGGATCACAAGGTGGGGTTGACCCAAGTACATTTCTTTCATTGTAGACAGCACACCAGCATCATTCCCTATGATTAACAGGATTGTCACACACAGTCAAACTAACTGCACTGTTCAGCAGCTGGATGTCTTAGTGGGCCTAAAATGGCGAGAGGTTAGCTCTAAATAAAGCTACATGACATTACTTAATGTTAGCTTGCATCTCTTAAATGGGGTGCACTGCAGATGGAGGTGTCTACCACTAATTCTGCTCTGGAAAATACTTAATAATAGCACAACATGGGAGACAGTCTGTTCTAGTATTTCCTAATGCTGTACTTAAAGCCTTGGTCAGGATGGGGAAGAGATGTGCTCGATCAGTAGATAGCCATGGAAGTCACTGCAAGAAGTCAAACTGCTAAGGCCTGGATGTTGTACCACAAAATATTCAATAAAATGATTTCACTCATGTGGTCAAAGTCAGCAAATGCATCTTCAAGTGCAATATCCCACCATACACACCGTTAACATTAATTGCACCACACCCACATCACTCACTACTCCCAAAAATACATCATTCAGAACTTGCACCTAACATAGCTTCATCCTGCACTCACATACGTAATAATGCTGCAAGCCATGCCCTCACATTTCAGTTTGCACACATGACCAGCTATTTAACAATGAGAACAACATCACTCATACATTACACCAAGTGAATACACCTTCAAGGCGAGGTGGTGCAGAAATGGAGGCAATAGGTGCTAATGGGAAGATGTAAGGTGTAGCTTCATGTCCTCACCCAATGGACGAGACAGTGCCTGATGTCATTGAAGTAGCCACTGCTTACACCTCCACCAAGCTGAGCCAAAAACAACAGAAGTTGACAATATATTTCTACCTCATCCACATCCTCACAAGTTGTGATCCCCTTATCTGACACAGAAGTTTCAGAATATGTAAGCTTCTAACTCTTACTTTGTGTCACCCTCTCTCTTCCTCTCAACCTACTCTTATTCTTTTCTTCTTTCAGACACTCAAGAGCTGCTGTGGGAGGAGGAAAATAGGTGGAAGGCTTTGATAACGGACTAACACTGTTACCTGATCTATCAGTTGCTGCCATCAGATTAAATACTGGCACTGCATTTACTTTAGTGTATAGTGTATGAGGTGGAGTGTATAGGGTGAATCATTGGGCAACAACAACCTGAAGTCAAGACAAGGAGCAAAGTTAGTGTGGGTGTCAACTCCCTAGATGGTGAGTCTCAAATGACTTCTGGTGCAGAGGATTCAGATGAATACGTTGATGGGGGACACAGTCTGCAGAAGAAAGCTGCTGACATGCATAGTGAAATACTTGCTGCATTGGCAAGTCAACCTGTGTGAGAGATGTTAAAGGAGCATGGAGAAGTCTAGCACCAACTTTCCACAGTGTGCAGAACTTTCAGTTGTGTTTGATTAACCTTTAAGATAGCTGCTACTCTGTGCTCTAAGGCATTAACTGCTTAAAACAGGATCAGGAAAACAATAATATATTCGAGGGCGGCTCAGCCTTGTACATACAGGGCTCCACTGTTTAGGTATCTTCATCAGACTGTCAGCCCACAGAGGTGACAAGGTGTGTTACAACACATCCTTTACCATGTTATCTATTAAACATATAACCATCCCTTTTCAAGGCAGACCATGATGCTTCCAGCATGGAAATGGTGCCAACACCATTAGCAAACTTGTGGACCCAGTCAGAAAGAAGCAACTGATGGGTGATGCCTCAAGATTTTGTTGCAGCTCCAGCAGAAGCCACATGATGTCTGGCTGCTGCAGTAGAAGCTCAGAACTCTGCCATTTACTGCAGGGTCCAGTCCTGGAAGCAATCAGAAAGCCAAATCATGGCCAGTGTTAAAGAGTTTTGCAGCAGTCCAGCCATCAATTCTCAAATAAGAACCAGCCCAGAGGAGTGGGAGTTGCTCCATGGGGCCATAAACCTGCTGACCTCCTATTGTTCTTTCTCAGGCTAATGTCATGTTGTGCTCCCACCCTGTCACCTCACCATCGCCAGCCCAGACTGCTGCAGCCTATCTCAACATGGTGTAGTCCAGGCCTTTTAACGCCAAAATACTCAGTCATCCTGCGATTTGTGAGCTCACACCATTGAAAGTCAGCAGCCTTCCACCACAGCCATATTGCAATTAAAGGGATAGCATTGTGTAACAAAGCGAAGGCGCACAGAGATATCAAGGGCATAGAAACATGGGATTACTTGACATTTGAATATTGAATAGCATCTGGCACAACTTTATTTCTAAATTTTGTTCAGAATGTGTGTCTTTGCTCGCGTTTCATTTTTGCATTTAATTTTAAGTAGAAGCTGCGATGATCAGTGACAGTGGAACAGATATTGCTGATGGTCGTCCAGTTGATGGCAAGGACTGCAAAGCTCCTTTACAGTGGTTCTGGCAACAGTAATATAATTTCTGCCTGAGCCTGGAAACCAAGGCTAATGTTCTAGGGATTCGCATTTGAACCACTGCGGCTGATGGTGAAATTTGAATTCAATAACAAGTTGGAATTCAAATCTAGCCTAATCTCTAATTGTTGTAAACACCCATCTGGCTCTCTCATACCTTTTAGGGAAGGATATCTGCCATGATTACCTGGTCTGGCTTAAAAATAGAAATTTGAAAGATAGGAGCAGGAGTAGGCCATTCAACCCCTTGAGCCTGCTCCACCATTCATTATGATCATGGCTGACTATTGAACTCAGTACCCTAATCCACTCTTCCCCCCAATATCCCTTGAATCCTTTAGCCAAAAGATCTATATCTATTGCCTTCTTGGAAAGACTGTTTTGGCCTTAACCACTTTGCGATACTGAATTCCACAGGCTCACCACTCTCTGGGTGAAGAAGTTTTTCCTCATCTCATACCCTAAACAGTTTTCACCTTATCTTAAACTATGACCCCCAGCTTGGACCTCCTCGCACCATCAGGAACAACCCTGGTAGGATATTATAGGTTTCTATGAGAGCACCCCATCATTCTTCTCAACTCCAGTGAATACAATCTTAACCAACTTAATCTCTCCTCATGTCAGAGCTGCCATTCCAGGAATCAATTCAGTAAACCTTCACTGCACTCCGTCTACAACAAGAACATCCCTCCTCAAATAAGGAGACTAAAACTGCACACAATATTCCAGGTGTGGCCTCACCAATGACCTGTATAACTGCAGCAAGACATCCTTGTGCATTTACATGTGACTCCAGACCAACAGAATGTGGTTGACTCTTAACTGCCCTCTGAAATAGTCAGGCAAGCCACTCAATTCCTGGGAAATTAGGGATGGATAAGAATAGGTTGGACTAGGCTCTGAATGCCCACATCCCATCAATGAATAGAAAACAATAATCAGTGATCTCCTTTAAGCAAAGGCAGATGAACTATCGTGAGATGTTGAAAATATCCTCTGCTCGGCTTGTAAATAGTCAGTCAGTCTGTAAACAATCATGTTCACCTTCTGCCAGTGCAGCCCTTGTCCTGCTCTGACGGCAACAGGTAGCTGTTTTTAGTGAAGATAGCCTGATTCAGATGCACATTCCACTGAAGTTCTGGTGAAAGGATTACTTCCTCAATATCCCAGGCCCAAGCTGAGAAGACTCCCTCCCCTCTTCTGGCAGCCTTCCCTACTCAATTTCAAGATCATGTTGGATGCCAAGGATAATGCCTATTATTGCACTAATGCCTAAGAATAATTAATTTTGCAGATGTCAGGAAAAAATCTTACATCATGCATTACACCACTCCTGGTAGACATTAGCAACTTTAAATAACTTTCAAAAGCACCAAACAATTGAACAATCAGAGCAACAGTGAGTAGAAATCAGTCAGCACTTAACCTGAAGGTGGTATATATCTCTTTAATCAGAACTAGTGCGTCCTTCATGCTGCTGAATATCAGATTAGGCGGACTTTATCCATCCGAATTTTGCAGCAAAAGTAGTTTCTTTATGAAATGTGCTCCATTATATATTTCACAAAGACAATAAGAATATTACATTGCCAATATCTTCTAACTACATCATAATTACTGTCCACACATATTGGTTCACTTGATTTGCATTATATATAGCAGTGCTGATTATAATTTGACGTCTACAGCACCAAACATTTTATTAGCTTATGAATTGTCAGCTTTAAATTTCATTGACCACAAAATCAGAGTCAATGGATAAAATGACAGAACTTGCTGCTGACCTTAAACTGCCCACAAATATCTGGGCATCGATTTTCTCTTCCCAACATTGATTAAATTCTGACACTAATTATAAGGAGATCTCGTCTCCAAGATCAATAATATCGTTAAACAAGCTAAAAAGTCAACCATATCGAAGCATACTCAGATAGCAAACCAAGAAAAAGTTTATCCTTAACTTAATAAATCATTTTATAGGCCATGAAAGAAAGATTGTGATATACGTATGGGATTATGTTTAAACTGAATTATTACAGTCAAATCTTGTTTTTCGCACATTCAACCTTCACAAGTTCACTTATCCATGCAAAACTTATTGTGCACCTTTCGCCCACTGAGAGTGTAATCTTAGCTATGGTGTTGAAGAAATAAATTAAAAAACTTACTTCCTGAAGCAGAAGGTGTGCACTGCACATTTTTGCTGTTTGCAAAAATCACAATTTACAAAGTTTCCCTTTTTCAAGAACATTTGCAAATCACAGGCCTTCATTCAAAAATGTGTGTAGTGTACCTGATTTTTTTTTTTACAAGTGACTTTTATCATAATAATACTTTGTAATCCACAAATATACAATTAGTTTTCCAGGGACAGGGAAGTTGTTGGGCAGTAACGCTGACTAGGTCTGTTAAAAATCCAGCTACACCTCATTCAACAAAATGCAACATTTTCCAAGCTTTTTACAATGAAACTATTCAGGTGAAAAGGGGAATTTTGCATCATATCAATCATATCAGTAACTTTTAGTTAGATTCACTTCTGCAATGACTTCAACAACGAGAAGTAAAGAAGAACCACTGACAGAAACTTCCAGATAACTGGGTTTAATTACACATGCAGAAGTTGTTGCCAGTTTGTTAGAATGTTGAGCACAAAAATTGGCAGTTTTGCCATCATTAACATTGCAAAATCTGGGCCGTTATCTTAACAACTTGTGACGCAAATGATTGTTTTCAATGTGGTTAAATTCTTTGGCCCAGAATTTGCTGGCGTAGAAAGTTTGGTGAATGCCGAGATTTGGATCATTTATGACCTCCTTCAGCTCCAATTGTTTTTCTGTTGCAAATTATTGGAGGCACAAGTTGAACAAACTCAAACAGGATTGTGGTGCAGTCGAGACCTTGATGAGTAATGAAACCAATTTCTATGTCCCCAACCATGAAATTTAAATGGCTGTCAAAGCTGTGAAGTGACAGTTTGACCATCTGCTTATGAAAATAAAGTCGATTGCTGAATTACAGCAAAGAATACATGTACAAGTGCCAAGTTTTATTTTGTCTATGGACCGTGCGAGATGAAAAAGACAGCCTTTCGCACATGGTTCAGATTGTTTGGTATTTTAAAATTTAGGAGTGGAATTAATTGAAAGCAGCTGTTGCTGCCAATGAAAGCATTATATTTTATTGTTACTTTTGGAACTTGCATGGTTAATGTCGCTTTCTTGGAAAAATAGTAGGCCCACATTTCTTTTTTACTCAACTTGCTCAGACATTATTATGCACATCTCTGGCACAGGTGAGATTTGAACCTGGGTCTCTTGGTTCAGGGAACCCACCACTGCACAACAAGAACCCCAGATACTTTGAAATGGTTGGTGGAGTGGCTAGGTCAGTGCTAACTCTAAACCATGGCAGGCTGAATTGAATTTAACATTTACTTTGTTCCCAGCAAGAGTCCACAAACACTCATTTTAATCAGTGAAACAGAGCAGCTCAACTTGCGTTCTGGTTGGGTGTTTTCTGTAGCATGTACAGAACCTGTAATTGCTAACTGGTTATAAGCTGGAAGACCACTGGATAAATAAATTATTCCATTTCAAGGGACGCTCATAATGTTACATAGTGGCTGCAACTTTCTGCCATTGGTTTAATTCATTTTTGAAGCACAAAATTATAGGGAGATGTATAGCTAACCATCCAGCAATTTGCAGCAATTCACAGCTCATGGGGCATCTCTTACTTGCCGTAAATTGATGGAGATTTTATACACTAATGACATTATGTGAATGTCGCTCACAAATATTTTGCCAGCAAAATTCTGGGCTTTTATTTGATAAACAATTAACAATGAGGCCTATGTGACTCATTGTGAGTAATGATCCAGGTTACTGGTATTTTTACAACAATTGATCGTGTCGCAGAATTACAAGTAGTGTGCTCTTAATCACATTGTGTTCTTAAACAGATCTTGCTGTACCTTCACATTGGCAACTTTAGCCCAGATGTTTATAGTGGTGCTTTTTGTAGCCAACAGCATTATTAGAACTAGTTCCTGCAAAATGAAAATATACTTGTTACAAATTTACTGATTTTACAAGCATAGGATTTGTTTAAATTATTTTATTCATTGCATGAAATTGATTTTCTTTTGAGGCCTGAAGGTGGAGAACATGAATAATAATACTGCTAATTTCAGGGTGTAGTTAGTTATGTAGAAGATTCATGGATATTAGGTCAAAATATTTGGAAAGAGAATGAAATGGTTCCTTTGGGAGAAAAAGATCTTTAGTAAGGAGACTTGAACATTTCTTACAATAACAATTTAGTGTAAAGGATATATAGTTCATTTAACAGAATCTTATCTGTACTTTAAAACATGATAAGTACAAATAATTAGAGTGACTAAATTTGAGTGCAGAGATGTGGACATTTGATCCATTTTGCCTAATCAGTGCCAGCTCCAGAACTGAACAATTTAATTCCATTTTGCTGTTTTCTTTTCCTATTCCCTTTACATTTTTCTTTTGTGCTAAATTAGTTTTAAATTCCATGACTCATTTCATTTTAATCATCACTTCTGGTAATGTATTCTATATTGTTATAGCCCTTAGATAAGACAAAATCTTGCAAACTCGTCATTTATACTAAGAAAGTTAATGATAACTTAATGCTCCATTGTTGTAAATGGCAATTATGTTTGACTTGAAAAATGTTCTATGGCTTTTCAATTTTTTTTAGAAAAAAGATCCCAACCTATTAGCAAACTAGCCTGACAGAATGTCACATTTCGGCAGTGTGAGGGTGGAGAATTAAAATAGGCAGTTGAAATTATGACTGACGTGCGATTTGATTATACTGATTAATATAAATGTAATATCTCATATTGCTAGATTCAGCAAATTCTCCTTTTAAAATCATGTAATGGCGCTCTCTGCTTGATCTAAGCAAGCATTTGAATAGGAGACATTTAGTTTCTCTCTCTCTCTCCTATGCCATGTATTAACTTTTATCAACTGTACTTTTGCAAGTGTGGCTCAGGATTCACCCATTCATTTCATTTTCTCCTATTATTTGAAGTTATCCAAACTTTCAGCCCTTAAAAGCTTGGCTAAATTGCTATGGATACCAAAGAGTGATACAAGGTGTTACATTTAATGCGCCCTTGGTAATTGCTATATCCAATTCTAACCTCCAGTGTACAAACAGACAAATTATGGTTTACACACAGCTTCTTGAGCCTTCTCCAGTATTCAATAAGAACATGGATAATCTGATTAATCCACATTCCTACCAATCCTCAATGCTTAGCAAGCATTTATCTATTACTGCCTTAAAAAAAATATAAAGGCTATGCTTCCACTGTTTTTTGAGGAAGAAAGTTCCAAAGACTCATAATTGAGAAACTTTCTTCTCATGAAAGGTTTGCAGAAGCATTGGATGAACAAATAGCCAATGTGATTTAGCTTTCATAAGTATATTGTACATTATTAGTAATTGTTTTTGCTGCTGAGCAGGCCATCAAGGTCTGTGTGTGGTAACAGCTTCCAGAAGCAGAAGCCATTCAGCGATCCACTAAATCTACTTTACAGTAGATTTGTCTACAGTAAATTGACTTGGGGCGGCACGGTGGTTCAGTGGTTAGCACTATTGCCTCACAGTGCCAGGGACCTGGGTTTGATTCCACCCTCAGGTGACTATCTGTGTGGAGTTGGCACATTCTCCCCATGTCTGTGTGGGTTTCCTCCAGATGCTCTGGTTTCCTCCCACGGATTCTATGACTCTAAATTGAGAGGCGTATAGCTTCCCAGCAGCCATGGCTTAGAAAACATTGGCTGGGGGTAGGGAATAATGAACATCCAGACCGCAAGATATTTTTCTGTGTGTTAATTATTTAATTGAATAGTACTATATTATATTGGTATATTAGTTGTCTGTTATATAGCATTTTGTTTACTTTGAGTTTGTTACAGTAGATATCTTTATATGACTAAACCTTGTTATATGATTCCATCAGTCTCTGTATACATTGTAACACATAACCTGCAGTCAATGACCATACTATTCAATTTACTACTTGAAATTCTTACCAAAATAATCTTTATAGTCCTTGTACATTTTCGGTCTTAAATTGCGCCCATCTGTGAACAGACATTGTGATTAATTCAATATAACTTTAGAGGCATTATTGAAATAGCCTGGATAAGAAATATCTCTTTAGGGCGGAATGGTGGCTCAGTGGTTAGCACTGCTACCTCACAGCACCAAGGACCCAGGTTCAATTCCACCCTCAGGTGACCGTCTGTGTGGAGTTTGCACATTCTCCCTGTGTCTGCATGGGTTTCCTCCAGGTGCTCTGGTTTCCTCCCACAGTCCAAAGATATGCAGGCTAGGTGGATTGGCCATGCTAAGTTGCCCATAGTGTCCAGGGATGTGTAGATTGGGTGGGTTAAAGGAGGAATGGGTCTGGGTGGGATGTCAGAGGGTCAGTGTGGACTTGTTGGGCCGAAGGGCCTGTTTCCATATTGTAGGATTGATTAATTGAAATATTTTGATTCAAAATAGCTCAAGTCTGTCAATTCATTTTTGCTTCAAAAGATGAAAATGTTGTAGAATTCATGGCTCAGTTAATCTCTATTTTTCTTTGCTAATCCACACAATTAATAGAACGGAGTTGTATTTTCCTGTATGTCAGTATTGTTCATTGGTTGTCCAAAAACCTCATAGCTAGACCCTTGATTGCATTGAATACCATTTCTGAATTTCTGGATTGATTAGGGCAAACCAAAAGGTATTTTTCACAATGAAAAATGTGTCAAACATTTCATTTATACAAGGACCACTTGGCAGTGAAAATGGGATATAAACGTAATGATTTGGGGGTAAAGATGAAAGTGAATTTCCCACATTTAATAATGAAGATTTAGTCCTTAAAATAAGGAAACACAAACTTAGATATATGGATTAACCTTCATGATTTCATGATGTCCCAAAGGTTTGCATTACAGTGCAGTGAATACACGCAAGGATGCAAAGCCAACTCCAATTAATCTAACTGGATTATTCTAACGTATCCCAGAACGTTGTGGGAAATAAGAGAGGAAATTACGAGACCTCTTGCAGAAATATTTATGTCATTTATAACTACAGAAGAGGTGCTTGATTGCAGGGTGGCTAATGTTGTACCTTTGTTTAACAAAGGGTGTAAGGAGAAACCGGGAAACTATAGACCTGTGATTCCGACTTTGGTTCTGAGTAAATTGTTGGAGATGATTATAAATAATAGGATTTATGGACATTTAGAGGCAAAAATTGATTAGAGATAGTCAGCATAGTTTTGTGCACGGAAAATCGTGTCTCACAAACTTGATTGAGTTTTTTTAAGGAAGTTACCAAAAAGGTTGATGATGGCAGAGCAGTAGACGTTGCTTATTTGGATTTTAGGAAAGCCTTTGACAAGGTTCCGCATGGTAGACTAATTAGTAAAAGTTAGGTCACTTGGGATTCAGGGTGAGTTTGCCAATTGGATACATGATTGGCTTAACAATAAGAGACAGACAGTAATGGTGGAGGAACAAAAACAGAAGTTGCTGGAAAAGCTCAGCAGGTCTGGCAGCATCTGTGAAGAAAAAAAAATCAGAGTTAACGTTTCAGGTCCAGTGACCCTTCCTCAGAACATTAATGGTGGAGAGTTGCTTTTTGGACTGAAGGTCTGTGACCAGCAGTGTTCCACAGGGATCAGTTCTGGGTCCTCTGTTGTTTATCATTTATATAAATGATTTGGATGAGTATACAGAAGGCATGGTTAGTGAGTTTGTGGATGAATAGACAGTGAAGATTTTCTAAGATTACAAAGGGATCTTGATCAAATGGGTCAAGGAGCTGAAAAATAGCAGATGGAGTTCAATCTGGATAAATGAGAGGTATTGCATTTTGGTACAACAAACAATGTAGGGCTTATACTCTTAATGGTAGGGCCTTGGGTAGTGTTGTAGAACAGAGGGATCTAGGGGTGCAGGTACATAATTCTTTGAAGTTTGTGTCACACATAGACAGGATGATTAAAAAGGCATTTGGCATGCTTGCCTTCATTGCTCAGTCCTCTGAGTATAGGAGTTGGGATATTATGTTGAGGTTGTACAGGACATTGATGAGGCCCCTTCTGGAATATTATGACCAGTTCTGGTTGCCCAATTATAGGAAGGATATTATCAAGCTGGAGAGGGTTCAGAAGAGATTTGCCAGGATGTTGCCAGGTATGGAAGGTTTGAATTATAAAGGAAAGGCTGGATAGGCTGGGACTTTTTTCACTGGAGTGTAGGAGGTTCAGAGGAGACCTGATGGAAGTTTATAAAATAATGAGAGTTATAGATAGAGTTAATGGTAGCGGTCTTTTCCCTAAGATGGGAAATTTCAAGTCTAGGGGGCACATTTTTAAGGTGAGAGGACAGAAATTTAAAAAAAAAAGACTTGAGACAAATTTTTTAGACAGAGCGTGGTTCGCGTGTGGAATGAACTTCCTGATGAAGTGGTGAATGCGGGTACAATTACAATGTTTAAAAGACCTTTGGATGGATACATGAATAGGAAAGGTTTAGAGGGATATGGTCCAGGAGCAGGCAGGTGGGGACAGCTTGGGATTATGTTCGGCATAGACTAATTGGACTGAAGGGTCTGTTTCCGTGCTGTATGACTCTATGACTGCTGAATTACATCCAGACACAAGAGAACATCTCTGTGCACTGCTCTACTCCCTCTAACTTATATTTAAAATGTTGAAACTAAGCCCAAGTGAGTGTTTACTTATTTGCAAATCGTGACATTGAGAACTTTGACTGGAACTTTCTCCAAGAGGCAGATAAGATGGTAAAAGTAATATAACGAGATGCCAAATGTTCAGACACTCTCTGGGCTGGACCTCTGGATCCCAATGAGACAGAATCAAAGATGGGAGGGAGCTAAAATAGCCCTCTCAACTAGCATGCTGATTTTTCTGCTTCAGTTTCACAGGTCGGCGCAACATCGAGGGCTGAAGGGCCTGTAATGCACTGTAATGTTCTATGTTCTATCCCGCAAAGTATTTTCACAGAGATGGGATTGGGGGATGACAAGGTTACCTATCCACACATAATGAGTAACTGTTAAGGCCTAATAAGAACCAATTGAGGCAGGTTTAGAAGCACCTCGCAGCCAGCCTATGTGACAAAACTGTCACTCTCCCTTGTAGTGGCCTCACCCTTCTCTTCCCATTCCTCCCTGCATGGCAAATTGGTCCATTATTAGAGGTACATCCATTTTAACTGTTCAAACAAAACATTGTCGAAAGTAAAACAAAATTTGTTGTTAAACTTTTTCTCATGCACTCATTAGGACAGATGCAAAATTGTCAAACTTCAAGGCGAGCAACAATTTAGATTTCATGAGAAAAGGATGCTGTTTGCACGGCGAGTGAACTTTGGTTGATTGCCATGGAGCATACAGCAGGTCCACCACACCTTTGTTTAATTCAAACAAAGCAACATGTTCTTTTTAACTGGCAGAGGGCCAGTCCCTGCATATGAATTTATGTGGCTTCTAGGAAGTATAAGCTTCTGTGATTCTTAGCACATTTGGGATTGTCCAGCAAATGTTGTATAATTTCAGAATAATATTTAATGTTAGGTGTCATCTTTTTAGTTGGGCAAGCAAAGCCTGGCTGAATCTGGCCAGTACGCAGTCTATTGTGACTAGCTAGAGGGATATGCTGAAAGTCTATGGGATGTACCCAGCATCACACCAGCACTTCTATTCTTGCTCAGCATTATTCATTTGTGGAGTAGGCGGCAAGTTTTATTTTGGTTTGGTTACTGCATCCTGTTAGTAGAAAACATCAACTGTGTTGCTACTGCACAATAGCTACGTAAAGTAGTTTGCTCATTGTCTTTTATACCTTACTCTTCCAGGATAATAAAGTGAATAAAGAATGCCTTCATTTTAGCAAGCCTGTATGTGACCTGCACGTCAACTGCAATACATTATCCACCGGCTCATTCAACATTGCAAGCCTAATTGCAAAGGGGTTGTTCAAGGAAGCAATGAGAATTTGTGCTGCTTCACAATACCATCACATTCTAGATGTGCTACCATTTTCTGAATATGTATTCATTGAACATATGAACTTAGCAACTAATGCAGTTGAGTTCAGATCTTGAATACTAGATGTGATCCTGCCATTGGACAGCATTTGCTGAACAATCCTGAGGGTACTAAGAATTACACTAAGAAGCAATTTTAGACTATCAGTCAGGCTCACATTGTACATAACTTCTAGGAAGCCATTGATGCACAAGGAACTGTCCTGCGCAGAAGAAAAGAAACAGGGCCAGGCATTCACTTTTTTTAATTAAACAAAAGCGTGGGGGCAATAGTTCCTCAGTTGAACCTCTGCCATAGAGAATGCACCAGAATTAATTTTCCAACCAATGAGCACACTTTTTTCATGCAGTGTCTGTTGTTGTTCCCATGGCATCTTGCATCTGTCCTCATGAGTGCAAGTCAAATAGCTTCAACAGCATGATTTTTCAGCAAACTTCAAGTTCAAACAAATTTTATATAGATCCATATAAAGGATCAATGCTCATTTCTTACATTATTCGGAGTCATTCCTGTTAAATAAACTTCAATCATCTCAGACCTAGGTTTGAGGTCATCTGTATGATTCAATTATCAATGCTGCACTTGCTCCCCAATTTGTTTCATCACCACAGTATTAATAGTAGAATATGTAAAAAATAACTGACCACTATTTCCTCGTTGCTTTATGCACTGTCCTCTGTTCGGAATTCCTTCTGCTGGATTCCCGGGATTTATGATGTGACAATCATAGCCAGTGGGACAATGCAGGGGTTCATCTCCATCCTCTGTGGTACTACAGGCTTCAGCTGCAGAAAAGACAAATGGCTAAACAAACTGCCATGATCCAATCTTGTAATTATATTGCAGTATCTGTGATTAAAAGAACAAATGTTCGTGTAACTTGAACACAAACACTTTCAATACATTATGTCATTGGTGAGATCTCAGTTCTAGATTCCCCAAAGGGGAAACATCCTTTCAGCATTTGTGCTGTTGAGCCCCCTCAGAATCCTGAGTGTTTTAATAAGTTCACCTCTCATTTTTCTAAATTTCCAAGTGAGTATAGGCCCAGCCTGGTCAATCTTCCTCATGAGAACTTTCTCATTCCAGGAATCATCACGGTAAAAGTTCCTCTGAACAGCTTCCAAAATAAGTATATGCCCTCCTTTTAAGTAAGATGATGAACATTATACACAATATTGTAGGAGTTGTCTCACCAATGTCCCTAAATCCTTTGAATTGTGGCTGTTTACAAAAGAGAGAGACCTTTTGACCATTAAGTTTACATTAGCTTTCTGCAAGGGTAGTTCATATAGTCCCATCCTTTCATCTTCTCCCCATGACACAGCAAATCTTTTAGCTTCAAGTGTTTATTCCAACTCCCACTTGAAAACCTTAACTGAAACTGTCTCCACCACCCTCTGTGTAATCCAGGTGTCTGAGAGAGAAATCATGAGGGAAAGAGAGGGAAAGAGTGAGAGAATAAAATGAGCATATATGGGCTCTAATAGATATTAACATTTGAAAGTATAAATTAGTCAAACAAATAACCTTCAACTCTCATTACTAAATAAAAATGTTTGGCCAAACTAGATGTATGTAATTTTTAAAGTGTTGGCTGTTCTTGATGCCTATTAAAATGAATTACTTAACATAGAAACCTAGAAGATAGGAACAGGAGGAGGCCATTCAGCCCTTCGAGCCTGCTCTGCCATTCATCATGATCATGGCTGATCGTCCAACTCAATAGCCTAATCCTGCTTTATCCCCATAACCTTTAATCCCATTCACCCCAAGTGCTATATCTAATCGCCTCTTGAATACATTCAATGTTTTGGCATCAACTAATACCTGTGGTACTGAATTCCACAGGCTCACCACTCTTTGGGTGAAGAAATGTCTCCTCATTTGTCCTAAATGGGCTACCCTGAATCCTCAGACTGCGATTCCTGGTTCTGGGCACATCCACCTTTGGGAGCATCCTCCCTGCATCTAACCCGTCTAGTCCTGTCAGAATTTTATAAGTCTCTATGAGATCCCACCCCCTCATTCGTCTGCACTCCAGCAAAAACAATCCTAACCCAGTCAAGGAGACAGAAAGGACTGCAGATGCTGGAAGCTCTAGTCAAAAAAATGCGGAGCTGGAAAAGCACAGCAAGTCAGATAGCATCTGAGGAGCAAAAAAGTCAATGTTCCGGATCAGATGTTTACTTTCCTGCCCCTGGGATGCTGTCTGACCTAACCTAGTCAGTCTGTCCTCATACATCAGTCCCGTCATCCCTGGAATCAGCCTGGGAAACCTTCGCTGCACTCCCTTGAGAGCAAGAGCATCCTTCCTTAGAAAAGGTGACTAAAACTGCACATAATATTCTAGGGGTGGCCTCACTAAGGCAGTGTATAACTGCAACAACACATTCCTGCCGCTGTACTCAAAACCTCTCGCAATGAATCATGTTTACTACTCACATTTGTCATGCTGAGAATTAGAACATTTTAAATGTAAGTACCTACTATTAATAATAAAGCAGTTTAGGTTATGTACCTTTTTCTAGTTTTGACTTCTGTATTTTCTTCCTGCTACTAACATTACATAAACAATGGGAAGCTATAAATAACTCAGTAAGCCTTTTAAAATGGATCATAATTTTCAGTTCAACTGCACTAATATTCCCAAGTTAACTTGATATCAGGCTTTCCAAACTGTGGGTTATGTCCTGAGCATGTCACCAGCGGAAATTTAGAGTTGTGAGCTCAGAGGCACCAAAAGCTATCGTAGAACTCTCACTGAGTGCTAATGGCTGTGTGGCTCCTTTAAATTCTCACAGCTCTCTAAATAATAGGTGTGGCTGATCTTTAAGACCTGAATGCTATTTTGCAAAACCCAGTAGAAAATAAGTGCTTTATATTTACAAACACTGTGGATAAAACAGCTCTCCATCCCTGCTCTCACAGATGTTTAAATCTCATCTCCCTGACACCATTACTCACGAGCACAGATTTCTCATACCTCCCTTCCCATGCAAACACACACACACACACACAAAGTCAGAGGTACGGAGCTCTGTGGTGAGTAACTCACCTCCCATTCATCTGCAAGACACAAACGTGCCTGGGTGAGTGCAGCTCAATAACACTCAGGAAGCTTGACACCATGTAGGACAAGCCCACTTGATTGGCACCACATCCATCACCTTCAACATTCATTCAAACAGAAAAGATAAGGAACTCCTTCCATTAGCTGACAGGTTGAGAACCACAGATCAATTTAAATGTGTTTGGGTTTTTTGCCAAAGGAGACATAACATATATGTATGAAATTCACTGCATGAGAGTATGGGGCAGATAGATTCAACCAGGCCTTTTAAAAAGGTATTGGACAATTATCTGAAAATAGATGCGTTGGGCTACAGGGAAAAGATATGTGGAGTGGGACAAACTGAGCTGCTCTTGCAGAGAGGCAGCACTGACAGCATGGGCTGTATCTTTCTACACTTTAACCACTCTAAGCTTTTCATCGTTTTACCCTAGGTCTTCTACATTAAGGGTCTTTATTTAAGTTTTGGAATAATCAGTGCTGGCTGACATTAAATTAGCTAAAAGTAGTGTTATCATTCCAGTCAAAATCAAACAGCATGCTTTTGTCCAGCGACATTTGCTAGTTTTACAATTTATTGGAAAGATGCCTGAATTTAAGAGGCAAAGAAGAAAAAATCCTCCCCTACACAAGAAGTGATTCGCGTGTTCGAAAATGTAACTCTAAAGAAGCAACTGTTGCTTCAGTGAATGAGTTATATATTAATTAATTGAATCATAGAATAAATGGATTTGTATTTGTGTGTCTATTTCAATTAGTCACTAAATGTTGAGCTCCGGTAGGTGATTCAGGTAAAGTCAACCAGCAGGTAAATAATGGCTCAAGTGACTGCCCAGGCAACACACATACATTTTAACAGGGGGTACGGTAGCATGAAGGCTGTGTTGTGTGTTGCTGGACTGATATATTCAGAAACACGCATTGGAAAATAAAACCCGAAGGAATTGCGGATGTTGTAAATCAGGAACAACATCAGAAGCTGCTGGAAGCTCAGCAGGTCTGGCAGCATCTGTGAAGAAAAAAAAATCAGAGTTAACGTTACAGGTCCGGTGACCCTTCCTCAGAACTGCCTCAACACGCATTGAAACCCCACCATGGCAACTGGAGAATTGAAATTCTTACAAGAATTAACCTGGAATAAAAATCTGACACCGGTAATGATGACCATACCAAAATTTCCTTTTGGGAAGAAAACATATCATCCTTACATAGTCTGTCCTTTAATTAAAAACCAAAAAGAACTGTGATGCTGTAAATCAGAACCAAAAACAGAAGTGTCTGGCAGCATCTGTGAGGAGAAATCCAAGTTAACGTTTTGGATCCGGTTCTGAGGATGGGTCACTGGATCCGAAACGATAATTGATTTCTCTTCACAGATGCTGCCAGACCCGCTGAGCTTTTCAAGTGATTTCTGTTTTTGTTTCTGCTCTGTACTTTGTCTGACTTCCTTTTAGATTACAAAATTCCCCTCTGAAATGGCAATATTAGTCTCATAATTGTATAGGAGGGACAAATAAATGTTGGTCTTGGCAATGGTGCCCACATCTGGTAAATGCTGTGAATTCTTTTACAAAATTGGAAAAGACATGCGATTTTATCACACCTATGCACTTTTCCAGACAATTTTATGTCATTCATGGTCACAAAAGGAAATCTGGAAAAATAATTGATGGGGGAATAAAAATCAAAACAAAATCAAAACAGGTCATCTTTTCCATTCATTGTTGGGATTTGAAGGTCATTGGCAAATGTTGCCCATTCCTAGGTACAATTGAGTAGTTTGCTAGGCCATTTCAGGGGCAGGCAAGTGTCAATCATGTTTATTTAGGACTTGAGTCACATATCAGTTCAATATGTTTAGGTTTGCTGGGTTTCTTCCCTCAAGGAAATGGTTTTATTCCCTTTGATAATAATAGGACTTGCAAGGATCATAAAATAAATTTACCAATTTTTTTTGACTCCCAGTCATGTTCATTCAGGCGTGCATGTTATTATGTATGGGGATGTGCCATACTGACATATTCGCACAACATGTACATATCAGGCGGCACGGTGGCTCAGTGGTTAGCACTGCTGCGTCACATTGCCAGGGACCCGGGCTCAATTCCACCCTCGGGAGACTGTCCGTGTGGAGTTTGCACGTTCTCCCCATGTCTGTGTGGGGTTTCCTCCGGGTGCTCTGGTTTCCTCCCACAGTCCAAAGATGTGCAGGGTAGGTGGATTGGCCATACTAAATTGCCCGTAGTTCCCAGGGATGTTTAGGTTGGGTGGGGTTAGACATGGGGAAAATGTAGGGGAATGGATCTTGGTGAAATGCACTTCAGAGGGGCAGTGTGGACGTATTGGGCCGAATGGCCTGTTTCCACACTGCAGAGATTCTATGATCATGTGCCTTATGACCTGCTAAAAGAAATAAAGGCCTCCTTTTCAGTAGAGAGGAAGAAGGACCCAGATTTTCTTTGTCCAACGATATTGTGGAGATTGGTAACGGGGCAAAAACAATTTTGTTTATGCACAGAACTAATTTTGCTTTGGCAGTCACACAACACCAAGTTATAGTCCAACAGGTTTATCTGATATCACAGGCTTTTGGAGTCCCGCTCCTTCAACAGGTGAAGTGAAGGGAAGTGCACATGCATAGAAAAAAATAGGTGGAGAGATAATGGCATGTAATTAAAAGCCTCAATAGATAAGTAAAAGTGTAAGTGGAGTGTTGACAGGCTGAATTACAAGTCTTTGCAAGTGTCAACCGGTGTGAGTAAAGTGTCAACACCTGACTAACAAGTGAAGGGATGACCTATGAACCAATTAATTGAGGCAGAGAGGTAACCAAAAAAAAAACCAAAAATCAATCATGGTTAATTAAAAGTTGAGGGGACTATTAGATTTACATTAAAAACTTTTTCTGTACTGTGCAAAAATACACAACACATCATGTAGTTTAATTGAATGTTTTTTCTTGGTTGTGTTTTTGCATGTTTACCAATGCTAATTATCTCATTTACTATTTATCCCAAGTTGTCTGATGTTCAATTTGCTTCCTTACTTTTTTCCACTTTTCATTATTAATATTAGAATGATGAAAACCCTGAAAATGCAGCAATCAGGCCAGTCTTTAACGTATCTAAGATTGAAATACTCAGTAACTTGAAGAAAAAAATGTAAGAGAAATCCGGATCAGACATGATTTCAATGAATGGCATTTCAGGCTTAAGGGGCTAAATGGTCATATAAAATAATTAGTGCACATACAACATATTAGGGTGCTCAGTCTACTCATGTATAGTGAAATCACTAATCATACGGAAGAAACAACACCTTGAAGTACTTCTTCTGGTCCATCAAGTAGCCATCCATTACCTCCGAGCCATCTGGGCTTTGGTTGTACCAACCAATCTAGGACTAAAAATTAACATGAGTTAAACAAGCCAGCAAAAACAAAGAATCAACTTTGCACAGCCTTTGGGTGTGAAATGAAGGATAAATCAATGATTATTAGTAATTTGAAATGCAATCCATGCCACAAAATATTCTTCCAACAGTAGTGGAACAATTATGCAAATTCCATGGGATAATATATTTTTCACATAACTTATTTGGAGCCTGGGTATTCACATTATTTCTACTTGTTATTGAAACCCATAGTTTTACTGGGCATTGAAGAGAGGCAAGGAAATAAGATTTATCCAATGTAATCACCAGATTTATTTTCAGTTTGTGGGAGCAAATTTCAGCAAATTATTATAATTGTTTGCCTTTCTGGTGAAGATATTCTCTTGTCAACATTATATTGTTTTTCTCCACTTCAGAAGCTAAGAATGGTCATTATGATCTGCATCAGTGACAAATTCACTTCCTGTGAAAGATCTACTCAAGCTTCCAAGATAGAAAATATTTAAGAGGCTAAGTGGAAGTTGTGTCTATTCGTTAAAGCAAATGTCCTTCAAAGAATGGCTGCAAAATACATTGTTATCTTTAGTCTCATGTTATTTTCCTCATCTTTACATACCCAGAACTCTAACAAACCTGAAGAAATCCCAGATGATATACTCCAGGACAATTATTTATAGTTGCTGCATTCTACTTGTTCAATATCTGGAAGCAAAACTCTTTAGTTTGCTAAACTGAGGGGTTGGATGTTGTATTATTATTTTGATTAAAAATGTGCAAGTTTTTGATTTGCATTCATTAAATAAATAATAATTCCAAATGTTGAGTTGCAAGCCTTGGCAAAAGGGAGAAGGAGGCAAGCAAAACCATCCCTCTCAGAAAGAGGGAAAACTGAGCAGGCAAATGAGCCTTACACAATGTTGATAGACCTAGCAACATATTGCTACAGATTGATTGAGGCAGAAGGTTGGGAGCACGTTGCTTTATTAGCCTTTCAGCCAGACAAGATGGAGTAATGAAAACTATGTTCTTGTCAGCCAGTAGCAAATGGAATTAAGAGGTTTTGAAGTCCATTGTGCTTTCTGCGTAACTAAAGACTATGCTGCCATTATGAATATACCAAAGAATGTTCACAGAATCTTGCAGAGATTAACTATACCTGGTGGTGGCTTTACAGATTCCAAACAAGCATAAATACACCCATTATAACAGCAGCGTTTGTGCCTTTCACATTCAGAGTCCGACCTGCAGCTGGGAACATCACAGGCTCTGTCTGGCAAAGCCTGCGGAGGAGGAGGGCATCGATCATTCTTCTGGTACGGTGATGAATATGAAACCAGCTGATACTCATAGTCCTGTGTAAGAATAAAAAGAAACAGAAAACTTTAGCTCATGTAGCAACCACGAACCAATTCAAACGTACTTGTGGCGAATTAATTTTTCACTTTTGCTGCTACTTTGCTTACAGCTAGAATTGTTAAATGACAAAGTTGCCTCTTTTTACAACAGCATTGCAAATTTGCTGGTAGCAAGTATCCTTTTGTTTCTACTCAATGTGGATTCTCCTGCCATACAGAAAATCTGATACATTATCAGTGGGTTAAAATCATCTACATAGTTTTCTGCTGTCCCCCATTTGCAAAATACTTTCTTTCTTGACAGAAATTTTACCACCAGATATAGAGTAAAAGGTTAATATTCATATGTAAGTAGTTAATCTATATCAGTAGTATTATAAGAGATCGCAGGGGTAGACTCTCGAGAAAAACAGATTATTTGTACAACCTTGTGCTAAGGTTTGACATTTGAGACGGACAGTTAGCAGCATGTTCAATAAAAAGGTAATATTACTAACACCCTCAACTCTGTATTCTCTAGACCTCGCCAAAAACCTAGCTTCCTCCAGTTATTGTCATCATGATAGCAGGAAGTGACAGTGAGTAGCCAATCCAGCAGCAGGGCAAGTACCAAGGGCAAAACTCAGCAATTGGGCATAGTAGTAGGATTAAGAAAAAGCCCAACAACTGCCAAGCAGCTGTAAGTAAAGTGAGAAATTAGAAAACAGAATACAACAAAGACAAGCCATGGAACAAACTCTATCAGTACAAAAATCTTCTGAACATGTGGAAGGCCCAGAAGAAGCCCAAAAAAAATGGCAAACACTGGCGCAGACATTTCGCTAGACATTGGAACTGAAATAATTGCACAGAGGCTTGGTATCACATTACCAAGTCACCCTTTATTTACATGTGCACAGTCAGAGCCCAGCCAGCTCAAAGCCAGTCTTTCAAGCGAGGAGACTTTCTGAATCTCCTGTTTCTTTAACTGTTTATTTTGTTTCCTGCATATTTATTTTGTTTTTTTTTTGGTTTTTCAGAGCCAGTCCGTAGACCGAATGAATCCTCAGAATCTCCTGTTTATATCTGTTAGCAAGGGCTTCCCGATTGGCCCAGGTTAACAACCCCAATCAAGGATCTCAGTCAATGAGATCTACCTAGACCTGGTTTCAATCACGACAGGAACACTTTGGGGTTAATGGCTTAACCAATCATGAACAAGATCTACAGACTGTAAGGACTGTAGATGCTGGAAGTCTGAGTCTATAGGTGTGAGGCTGGAAAAGCACAGCAGGTCAGACAGCATCAGGGGAGCAGGAAAGTCAATGCTTCAGGCTGAAACCCTTTGTCAGGACTGGGGAGAGGGAGGGGGAGGGGAGCCCAGGCACATATAGAGGGAGGGAGTGGGGCTTGGGGATGGGTAGGAGAGATGGTGGTAGGTGGATGCAGGTAACGGGGGTTATTGTAATTGGTCTGTGGGAAGGGTGGAGAGGATAGGTGAGTGGGAAGATGGACAGGTCAGGTCAGGGAGGTGAGGAAGAGGGAGAGGGTTGGACATGGGATAAGAGTGGGGGTGGAGGGATTTTAAAGCTGGTGAAGTCAATATGGAGGCCACTGGGCTGTAAGGTCCCAAGGTGAAATATTGGGTGTTGTTCCTCCAGTTTATGCTTGGCCTCGGTCTGACAGTGGAGGGGACCAAGGATGGACATGTCATCAAGGAAGTGGGAGGGGAACTTAAAATGGATGGTAACTGGAAGGTCAGGTTGGTTGATGCATGCAGAGCGCAGATGCTCTGTGAACCGGTCCCCGAGTCTGCATTTGGTCTCCCCAGTATAAAGGGGACCACATCGAGAGCAACGGAGGCAATAGATCAGGTTTGATGAAGTGCAGGTGAATCTCTGACAGATCTGGAAGGATTGTTTGGGGCCTTAGATGGAGGTGAAGGGGCAGGTGTTGGACCTTTTGTGGTTGCAGGGAAAGGTACCGGCTGTGGTGGAGAAATTGATGGGGAGTGTGGAGCTGACAAGGAAGTCACGGAATGAACGGTCCGTGCAGAAAGCAAACAGGGTGAGGAGGGAACTATCGTTTTAGTGGTGGAGTCTGATTGTAGTGATGGAAATGTCCGAGGATGATGCATTGTATTTGGATGTTGGTGGGATGGTACATGAGGACTAAGGGGATTCTATCCTTGTTGCTATTGGGTGGAGGAGGTTTGAGGGCAGAAGTGTGGGAAATGGAGGGGATGTGGTTGAGGGCATCCTTCATTATAGAAGAGGGGAAATTACAGTCCCTAAAGTAGGAGGATATCTAGGATGTCCTGGAGTAGAACGCCTCATTCTGGGAGAAGATGCTATGGGACAGCATTTTTGCAGGAGTGTGGGTGAGAGGAGGTGTAGTCGAGGTAATCGTGGGAATCAGTGGGTTTGAAATCGATGTCAGTGAGGAGTTCAAGCGGTTCATCAACTTCACCAAAACCTTCTACCCCGCCCTCAAATTCTAGACTATTTCTGACACCTCCCTCCCTTTTCCTGGACCTCTCCTTCTTCACCTCCGCAAACCAACTCATCACCAACTCCCCTGATGATATGTCCATCCTTGGCCACCTCCATTGTCAGAGTGAGGCCAAACGTAAACTGGAGGAACAACACCTGATATTTCGCCTTGGGAGTTTACAGCCTAATGGACTCAACATTGACTTCACCAAATCCCCTCCCTTATCCCATGTCCAACCATTCCCCTCCTCCTCACCTCCCTGACCTGATCCGTCCATCTTCCCACTCACCTATCCTCGCCACCTTTCCCATGGACCAATCACAATAACCCCCTCCCTGCATCTACCCATCACCATCTCTCCTGCCCATCTCCAAGCCTCACCCCCTCCCTGTGTGTGTGTCTGGGCTTCCCTCCCTCTCCTTGGTCCTGATGAAGGATTTCAGCCCAAAACATTGATATTCCTGTTCCTCTGATGCTGTCTGACCTGCTGTGCTTTTCCAGCCTCACAACAAGAACAAGATCAGTGCCTTTTTTATGCATTTTGCAGCAATGTAGATGATGTTTTAGTGATGAACGATATACAAGAAGAAACTGCTACCTCTGGTTTATATCTTTGGCGTTTTTGATACTTACTTCAGCCAACAATAAAATATTATAAACAGAGAAGAAGTTTAAGAAACAATGCTAAAAAAGAACTGTGAGACATGAATTAATGACCTCTATCAATTAGCAGAGAATAATGAGTATGGAATTTGTGGAGAAGACCTGATAAGGGATTGCATTGTGGTTGGAGTTTTGAAAGGAAGCTTATTAGTTTTTCACAGTTAGAAGGAGACTTGACAAAAGCAAGAGAGAGAGTGTTACAATTGGCAAGGTAGCTAGACATGAGGAAAGACTAAAGTTTTTATTCGCATGTTCAAGAAGGGAAAGCAATGGAGGAAGAGCTATTTGTAGAGCACAGGAGACGAAAACGCACCTAAGCTGAGGCAGGGAAAGCATGAAGAAAAGGTGAGTCACCAGCCATAATTATGCAGTCAGTTCCCATTATGTAGTTGTATTATAATAAATAATTATTACTGTTGTTTTTGGACAAATTAAGAATTATATAACAGGACTCAGGAAATCAGGTTAACAATAGCTTATTCGATGCATATTTTTTAAAATTCACTCACAGGATGAGGGCATTGCTGATGAGGCCAGTATTTATTGCCCATCCCTAATTGCCCAGGGGCCAGTTAAGAGTCAACCACATTGCTGTGGGTCTGGAGTCACATGTAGGTCAGACCAGGTAAGGATGGAAACTTTCTTCCCTAAAGGACATTAGCAAACCTGATGAGTTCTTCCAACAATTGGCAATAGATTCACGGTCATCATTGGACTCTTAATTCCAGATATTTATTGAATTCAAATTCCACCATTGCCATGGCGGGATTCAAACCCAGGTCTTAACTGCCCTCTGGGCAATTAAGGATGGACAATAAATGCTGTCTAGCTAGCAATGCCGCCCATCCTGTGAATGAATAAAGTAAAAAAATTCCTGCATAAAACCGTGACATATTCAAATTTGTACCACAGCGAGAACGGTCAAGCTTGAAATCAAAATTAAAATCTCACCCAAACATGTTACAGCCAAGAGACTGAAGAATTCACAAATAATGTTTGAGAGAAGTAACAGAATCGGAAAGAATTTAATGAACTGTGAAATTAAACAGGCAAAAAACAACAAAATTTGAGCTGGTCGCTAGGGCAGTCATATCAGTCCTACCCATCAGTACAGGGACCACGATGTATGAACTAAAAATACCGAAAAGGTTAGTTAACTGCAACACTGCAGTTTAAAAGAGAAACAATCACAGAGACCCTATATGTGATTGAAAGTCAAAAGAATTTGTTACTAAGCAGGAAAGTATGCATGTTTGAGACTTCTTACAAGATTGATAAGCTAGACAGCCAGGGAACAAAAGGAATTCAGATGAAAGAATTCCCGCAATTGTTCAGTGGTTTATGAAAGCTAAAAACAGCGTACAATATAACATTGAGAGTAAAAAGCTAACCTCTGGTTATATCGTCCAAGAAGGGTTCATGTCCACTTTTGAAGAAAGTGAAGCAGAAATTGAAGAAATGCTGAAACAGGGAGTGATTGCATTAGAGACAAGGCTAACAAATTGGCTCTAACATGGGGAGATGCCAAAACTAACTGGTTGAGAAAGAATGTGTGTTGATCTGACAAAATTAAAGACGACGGTACAGAGACAAGCCCGTCCTACGGGGCCTGTGATTGAGAGTCTGGTGGAGCTAGCTAAAAGCACAATTTTCACTGAACTTGATGCCAACCATAGCTTTTGACAGCTTCCTTTGGACAAAGAATCAAACTACTAACAATGTTTATAACAACGTTTGGATAATATTGTTTCTAAACATTTATCTTTCGGGCATAACACTGGCATCAGAAATTTCTTCTCTGGTTCTGTAATTACATTTGTTTCAAAGTTGTTCACCTTCAACATTTCCTGATTCTGACTAAG